TTGGCCTCCCGAAGTGCTGGGATTACAGGTGTGAGCCACCATGCCCAGCCAATTAATTTCTAATATATTATTTATGATATTTTTTGGATGTTCATGCTTGTCACTATTTTAGTTAAGCTGCTGACAAGAAAATGATTATTTGTTTATTTTATAGAAAGAGTATGATTTGGAAAGGGGCCATGATGAGAAACTGGATGAAAATCAGCATTTTGGTTTGGAAAGTGGGCCCCAGCACCTTCCATGGACCAGGAAAGTCTATGAGTTCTACAGTGCTCCAATTGTCAAGTTTTGGTTTTATACGGTTGGTCTCATTACAACAATATATGTCGGATGAATGATGGTTGATAGCTAGTGATGATATTGATAATATGCCTGATTTGCCACTTTGCAATAAAAATGTAGAAACCTAGTTAAAAAAAAGCGAGGGCATGACAAAGTAGGTAGCAAAGAAGACTGGAGGAAGGCAGGGAGAGGTTAGGGTGGAGCTCGCCTACTTTTTGGAGTTTGAGAACAAGCATTTTCTTCTCTCTTTGAGTGCTAAGAGTTAGCACTGTTATTGTGGGAAGATCTAGCTGGCTTTGTCCTACTGGTTAACGTTGCTTCTGTCTCTAAAAACTCCTAAGCTAGGAATTTCCATGGAAAGAAACACTGGAATATTCTTTTCTTAACAATGTGACTGTGGTTAAAACTCTCTTGGCGTTCCTATCAGAGTCCCTCAAATATGTTGTTGCACATTCACAAAATGGTAAAACCTTACCATTTGAAGGGAGACTGAGCATTCAAAGATCTGTAGAACAACCAAATTAACAGCAGTGTTTGTAGAATTAAGCAATAGGTGGGTGGGTTCTTAGAAAATCAGCAATTGAATCAGCATTTTCTTCGTAGGAATGTGTTATATAGATAGAAAATGATGCAAGTGTTTTTTTTGCGTTCAGTAGTATATGCTTATAAATATATAGAGAAAATGAAATATTTTAGAAGCTGAACTGTGTGAACAAATACCAAATCTATTATGGATAGTAGAGCGACAGAGAAAGCATGAACTATGCTTTAGATGTGTTGAGTGCTTTTCACATTTATTTCATAAGTTTTCTTTTTTTTTTTTTTAAATATTTTTTTCCACGACACAGCCCTCAGGAGATCCTGAGAACATGTGCTCCCATAGCATTTATTTTTCTTATGCTTATCTATACTTAAATAGCTCATGGCCAAGAGTTTGTACATCTAAAACATTTGAAGTGTGACTATAAAAGGATATTTATCTAAATGTGTTGTATTTCCAAATATTTACCTGGCCAACCACACACTTATTTCCTATACTTATTGAATAAGTACATAGCTGTGTATGATTTTTATCTGTTTCCAAAAATCACATCTGCTTTCAAACAATGAGGTTTTGCTATTTTTGTAACATGCAACAACATATACGAAAGACTCTGACAGGAGTGCTGGGAGAGTTTTAACCATTGTCATACCATTGGGAAAAGCGTATTCAGGCGTTTCTTCCCTTGGAAATTTCTAGCTCAGGAGCTTTAAGAAACAGGAACAAAGCTAAGCAATAGCACAAAACCAGCCAGATCTGCTCACCATGGTGTTTTTAATAATTGGAACGAAACAAAAAGAGTCAAAAGCAATACTGCCAATGTCCAGAGTGTTTAGTGCTTAATTTTACCTAGGTGTGAGTGCTTCGGTTGCTTGTAGCCTTTGTGTAATGCCACTTTGGACTAATGAGTAAACGGACTTAACATAGCCTTTAGGAATCCAACCTGTTCTCAAGTAGAGGAATTGTGGGCTACTTTCTCAATCTGAATATCTACTTATCGAATTTGTTTGTAGTCTTTTGCTTATAAATCTTCCAGATTCAGATAGTCGTACACTATACATATTAGAAAGAAAGTTATGGCTGAGGGTAACCTAAGATTCAGGTCATTCAATTTGATTTTACTGAGAGCTAACTGCTGTCTTTAAGACATAGTATACTAGGCAGCAGAGGGGGCGGTGAGAAGAAGACATTGCCAAACATCAATGCTGACTTCAAGCAGCTTGCAGTTATGTAGGGGAGAACATTGATGTATGTAAATGAGTCCAGTATAAGGAATCAGTGTATGGAGATAGTAAAATACAAATAATAAAATATATACAGACAAATGGACTAAGGTCTGAACCTCAGAGTAAAAGTTAAGGAGTCAATTGTCTAGCCATGCTGAAACCAATGACAAAAAAACTTAAATGCTTAATAGAACAAATTAACTTAAAGTATGTCCTTAAGGAGTCATCAAAAATACTCAGACTTTGAGATATAGATCAAGAGAAGTATAGAATTACTGAAATTTACCTTTACTTTCTTACATGCTTCTCTTCTACACCTCCTTAAATCATAGGCACTATTATCCATTATGACTACCTAAAAGACCACCTATTGTCAATAATACCATTCTTATATAGTTAGAAATGGTTTAAGCTATTCTCTATGTTATCTGTGCAGAACTAAAGTTAGAAGTAGACTTACCCATGTAGGTAGATAAAAATATATGAGAAATAGGAATCAAGGTTAAAATAATATGCTTTTATGAGAATGAACACACACACACACATTTTTCTCTCAACTGATTTTTTTTTTTTTTTTTTTTGAGATGGAGTCTCTCTCTGTCACCCAGGCCGGAGTGCAATGGCGCAATCTCAGCTCACTGCAACCTTGGCCATCTGGGTTTAAAAGATTCTCTTACCTCAGCCTCCTGAGTGGCTGGGGTTTCAGGTGCACACCACCACGCCCAGCTAATTTTTTGTATTTTTAATAGAGATGGGGTTTCACCGTGTTGGCCAGGCCGGTCTCAAAGTCCTAACCTCAGGTGATCCGCCCACCTTGGCCTCCCAAAGGGCTGGAATTATAGGCGTGAGCCACCGTGTCCAGCCGATACAAGGTTTTTAAATGCAAGTGTTGATCAGTGAGCACTGTGTGTTGTCTGTGAGGTTATTAGAGGACTGAAGTCTCATACATTGTTGATAATAGTGTAAACTGGTAAAGCCTTTCTGTCGGAAAATTTAATAATATTTGTCACAGTTTTCAATGTGCATGGGCAGATATTCTGCTTCCGGGAATATATCTTAAGAAGATAAGAATATTAGATAAGATTACAAAGCTATTAATCACTATGTATCTATATGTGTGATCACTATGTCTTAATTCTTTCAAGACTTTGGAAATCTAGGCATACATATATATACACAGTAATTAGACAAACATTTATTGAATGTCTACCATGTGTCAGGCAGAGTGCTGAGTGCTGAAGATATAAATATTGACAAACAGTCCTTAATTAAAAGGGCTCACAGTTGGACACAACTTTTGTATTAAACAGCATTTTAATCAACATAAAATAGAACTCCCAGCAGTGGTAAATGCCACAGTTCGTTGTATTTGAAAATAAGCATCTATTGCCATTGCGGATCTGGCATGCTTCACACACGTTTTCTTTCTGTGTTTGAGATGGAGGGGAAGGCCTGTGATTCCTCCTGGGCTTGCTGTTAGCTTGCCAGCACCCCTGTTGGACGTGCAGGGTCCTGGAAATGCCAGTCAGGAGCCAGCAGAACAATACAGTGTGTCCTTCCATGCATCAGAGAACAGTGATTTCATTCCTGCCTCTAAATCCTAGACTAGAAGACTATGGATTGTTGTGCTTTCCTTGATACTAGGTCATCGATAACCCAAAGGTGGTCCTAGTTATGTGTTCGTGTTATCGTGTTGAAGTTCATGCCTGGGTTTCTGCTCCATCTGTGTCTGCTTGGCGTGCCTTGTGCTTGCTCTCACTCACGTCTGGGGAATGTGTGTCCTCCTCACAGATGGCGTATTTGGCATTCCTCATGCTGTTCACTTACACCGTGTTGGTGGAGATGCAGCCCCAGCCCAGCGCGCAGGAGTGGCTTGTTAGCATTTACATCTTCACCAATGCTATTGAGGCGGTCAGGGGGGTGAGTTCTGCCATCTACCTTTATCTTCCACATATGCCCTCGGCTTCTGTAGGTGTCCACTGAAAGACTCCTTGGCTCTGGTGATGAAAATGGACACGTCAAGGATGGGGGAAGACAGGAAACACTGACCTTGACTTACATGCTGCAAGAAGTTTATTTGGGGGAGAATCCTTGATTCCAGCCCTTTATCCTTGTCAGCTGCTTTCTGTTGGTTGGTGCACTTTGGAAGCAGTTATCTTTGAAGCAGATATCTTGGTGTGTTTACCAATCCTAAAGGATGGATGATGCCACAGAATTGTATTAAACCCTCCAACTATTTGATTTCCCCCAGGGTTGTTTTTTTTTTTTTTTTGGTGAGGTTGATTTTTATTGCCTTGCATTACTTTCATATTATCGATTTCATCTAATGAGTGGCATAAATGGCTGAAGTTGTGCAATGTGTAAGGAATATGTTTATAGCTTTTGAAAGCACCTACCAAACACTTTGAAAATTGAAGCTGGAAATGTCTCTGAGGCAGATAATCCAAGAAGCGAAAAAACAAAACTTGTAAAAATTTCTAGTTTGTAATGAGTTACCTAAAAAAAAAGGGGGGGGGGGAGCAGGGTGTGGTGGCTCATGCTTGTAATCCCAGCACCTGAGGCAGGCAGATCATGAGGTCAGGAGATCAAGACTCTCTTGGCTAACATGGTGAAACCCCATCTCTACTAAAAATACAAAAAATTAGCCGAGCGTGGTGGCACGCTCCTGTAATCCCAGCTACTTGGGAGGCTAAGGCAGGAGAATTGCTTGAATCCAGGAAGTGGATGTTGCAGTGAGCCGAGATCGCGCCACTGCCCTCCAGTCTGGGTGACAGAGCAGGACTCTGTCTTAAACAAAAACAAAACCAAAACCAAAAACTAACATTCCTGTAAGTTATAACTGCAATCATAAATATTTATGACTTAGACTGTTTTAGATGTCAATATATGTCTCTGTGTCTGTGTATTTACCTATATTTATTTTGTCCTAGAGGTAATATAACCAACATTATATAGTTATATTCTTTGTAATTATACCTGTGTTGCCTGCTAATTCCTATGTGGAGTTTATAGATTATAGAAAATAAGTCAAGAGAGAAACAGATAGTTATCTGAATTGTACCACTTTTTTAATGCTTCAGGGAAAATAGGTGTACTATTTTACATTTCTGTTTGTCTGATATGGTGATATGTATTTTCTTTTCTTAGTGAGTTCCAATATCACATTCTTTTTTTTTTTTTTTTTTTTTTTTTGAGATGGAGTCTTGCTCTGTCACCCAGGCTGGAGTGCAGTGGTGAGATCTCGGCTCTCTGCAACCTGTGCCTCCCAGGTTCAGGCAATTCTCCGGCCTCAGCCTCCGGAGTAGCTGGGATTACAGGTGCCTGCCACCACACCAGGCTAATTTTTGTATTTTTAGCAGAGACAGGGTTTCACAATGTTGACCAGGATGGTCTCGAACTCCTGACCTCAAGTGATCCTCCTGCCTCGGCCTCCCAAAGTGTTGGGATGACAGGCATATGCCACCACACCCAGCCCAATATCACATTCTTAGTAGAATCTCACTAAATAGCAGTAGTCGGACTGGATTACAGGATTCCTTGCTCCATCCAGTGTTCTTTGCACCCCGCTGTGCCTCCTGAAATGAAATCGTAGCTATACAGATCCATTGCAATATTGAGTTTCAAAATGTCTTGGTGTTTCCTCATGCTATTTCAGGATTATTGAAAGCTAGAAAAAGTGCTTTGTATTTTTTTTTTAGTTCCAGTTGGGGTTTCAAGTGACAATCTAGCATTATTGAATGCATTAAATTATATCTTTATAGCATTGTTTAAATAATTCATTACTGATAACTTAAGTCTCTGAAATCCCCGAGTGTTTTAAGGTTTGGCATGGTTTAGATTACTCTTTAAATGAATAGTCTGTGTATTTAAGAAGATCATATTAACGGGATTCTTTGGTTGTACCTCCTTTTTTAAGTTTCCTTCTTCCTTCTTTTAGATCTGTACTTCAGAGCCCGGGAAGTTTACTCAAAAGGTGAAGGTATGGATTAGTGAGTACTGGAACTTAACAGAAACTGTGGCCATTGGCCTGTTTTCAGTTGGCTTCGCCCTTCGATGGGGTGACCCTCCTTTTCACACAGCGGGAAGACTGATCTACTGCATAGACATCATATTCTGGTTCTCACGGCTCCTGGACTTCTTTGCTGTGAATCAACATGCAGGTCCATATGTGACCATGATTGCAAAAATGGTGAGTACAGTCTAGTTTTATATCCTGGTATTCTTTCTTAAAATTGTTTTTAAAAGAATTCTTGTGGGTACATAAGTAGGTGTATGTATTTATGAGGTATATGGAATACTTTGATACAGGCATACAATGCATAATAATCACATCAGGGTAAATGGGGTTTTCATCACCTCGAGCGTTAATCCTTTGTGTTACAAACAACTCACATATACTCTTTCAGTTATTTTAAGTGTACAATTAATTATTAACTACAGTCACCCTGTTGTTCTAGTGTTCTTTGTAAACATGCTATGTTGTGCCAGCTAGATTTGTACTGCTGGGCTCAAGGGATCCTCCCATCTCAGCCTCCTGAGTAGCTGGGACTATAGGCATCCACCACCATGCCTGGCTTCTTTTTAATGGTTCTTCATGGTTTATATCCAATAGTTTAACTTTTGAAATTATTATTATTATCATCATCATTATTGAGACAGGGTCTTGCTCTGTCACCTAGACTGGAGTGCAGTGGTGCGATCACGGGTCACTGCAGCCTCACCCTCCCAGGCTCAAGAAATCCTCAACCTCCTGAGTAGCTGGGACCAGAGGCACACACCATCGTGCCAAGCTAATTCTTTTTTGTTATTTATATAGACAGGGTCTCACTATGTTGCTCAGGCTGGTTTCAAACTCCTGAGCTCAAATGATCCTCCTGCCTCAGCCTCCCGAAGTGCTGGGATTACAGGCATGAGCCATTGTGCGTGGCCATTTTGGAATTATTTATAGAAGCACAGCGAACAAGATCACGTCACCACTGCCTTCCATGTAACCACAAACTAGTATTTAGCAAACGACCTTGGATAGTATATTGCATAGTTAGTTGATTGGGACACTCAGCTTACCCTTTTGATTAGGGCCAGATGGTATGAGATTGAGTCAAATCTGTCTCTGAGCACAGTAATTCCTGAGGACCAGATTCATGTGAGGCTACTACCAATGATATTTTCTGCTAAAATATCCGTTTATTCTTGTATCACTCACTGACTGTCCCCTACCATCACGCTCTTAAATCGTGCTTACTATAGGCCACACACTGTTCTAGGTACTTAGTGTATATGAACTCATTTCATCTTAGCAACAACTTTAGGAGACAGGTAGTATTATTACACACATTTACATACAAGGAAATGGAGATTAAGTAAATTCCTCAAAGGAATATATAGGGAGCCGGGATTCAAAATTGGGCCACCTAGCTCCAGTCTGTCATCTGAGCTTGCCGTATAGTTGTGTCAACTTTTTCTTTTTTCTTTATTTTTTTTTCTGAGATGGAGTCTTGCTCTGTTGTCCAGGATGGAGTACAGTGGTGCGATCTCTGCTCACTGCAACCTCCACCTCCTGTGTCCAAGCGATTCTCCTGCCTCAGCCTCCCGAGTAGCCTATAGTAGGGACTATAGGTGCTTGCCACCATGCCTGGTTAATTTTTTATTTTTTAGTAGAGATGAAGTTTCACCATGTTGACCAGGCTAGTCTCAAACTCTTGACCTCAAGTGATCCGCTCACCTCCGCCTCCCAAAGTGCTGGGATTACAGGTGTGAGCTACTGAGCCTGGCTGGCTTTTTCCATCTGGCTATTCACAAGGACCTAAGACTTACCCTTTAATAAGTACAGTGTCTGAAGATCAGCTTTGGCTTTTCCTCCTAGAATACTTACTGGCAGGGAAGGGGCAAGTTCTGGAGAATGAAGGGTAGTGCTAAGACAAACAAACAAAGAAGACAGAAAAGAGACAACCTCCAGAACTCCAAAGATTTTTCCTATTTGACATTTTTCTCTTAGACCAGAAAGGTTTTCTCTTGTCTTGGTGACATTAGTATTTATGAGACAGGCTATGCCGAGATAACCAGATTATTTCAGTGACTTAGCACAAAGGTATTTCTGCCTAATGCAAGGTTTGGTGAGAGCTCATGGGGGCTGTCCTCTATGCAGTGACTCAGATCCCTTTGCCTTGTGACATAGCTATGTGAACATTTGGCTCCTGAGGTCTATGGCAGGGAGTAAGAGGGATGGAGAAAGTCTAATGTCTTTTAACTGCTGTGGACAAGAAGTGCCCAAGTCACCATCAGACCACAGCCCACTGGTTAGAATAGGTTTCACAACCCCAGCCTAATGGAAGGGAAGCTAAGAGACGTAGAGCACCTCTTGAAATACTGATGGGAATTGTGGTGAACGCTCTCTCTGTTACAGTAAACTAATGGATTGAGTTGATGTACATTTAATAGATGGAATTAAACTGGCTTGATCAGTTTCTTAGACTCTAATCAATTCCTGAAGACAACTCTGGGAATAAGGAACCTTTGGATGAATTCAACAATACCCTATTTTTTTTTTTTTTAATTTTCCTAACCTCTGGTCCAAGTGGGGGAAAAATTGGATATTAGCTAATCAAAAAGTGTTCACAATTCATTACCACTTAAACAAAGAAGAACAGATTCTCTCCTCTCAGCACATTTATGTTATTCCATAGACCACGTTGACTTGAAATACATACTGTGTGAGAAAACAAAAGAGTTTAGCCAAAGAAAGTCTAGCTGTTCGTGGGCAAGGGTGTTTTAGTCAATGACTAGACAATCTTATTATTTGCCGGTATAATTGTGATGGTTGCTGGTGTTTGGTTTCTTTTGAACTTCAAATCTATGGTAAAATTCTGGTTGTGCTATGCTCTTTTGCAGACAGCAAACATGTTCTATATTGTGATCATCATGGCCATAGTCTTGCTGAGCTTTGGAGTGGCACGCAAGGCCATCCTTTCACCAAAGGAGCCACCATCTTGGAGCCTAGCTCGAGATATTGTATTTGAGCCATACTGGATGATATACGGAGAAGTCTATGCTGGAGACATAGATGGTGTGTATGGGATTTTGCCATCATGCTGAAATTGTGCCTTCATAGTTAACAAGAGTAAAATAAATCTGAAAAACAATCATCTAAATCTAAAAATGTTTGAATTTATGGTATTCTGTGCAGTTAATGTGCTAAATGTTTGTCTACAGTGGCAGGACTGTGATTCATCTTATCTCTCATTCTTTTAAAATTCTTTATTTGTAGTTTGTTCAAGCCAGCCATCCTGCCCTCCTGGTTCTTTTCTTACTCCATTCTTGCAAGCTGTCTACCTCTTCGTGCAATATATCATCATGGTGAACCTGTTGATTGCTTTCTTCAAGTAGGTTATTTCAATTAAATATGATTATTTTATTTAAATAAGAAATGTGAGCAGATATGTTGAGTAGATTCACATGTACTTTGAATATGTAACCTTTGATTTTTGTGTGTTCTATGTTTTATTATTATTGTTTTGAAATATGTGCATAAAACTACTGGTAAGAAGGATGCAGAGCGTGGGAAATGGTGAAATAATAAATGCAGTCATCCATCGTTATCTGTGGAGGGCTGGTTCCAGGACCCGCTGTGGATACTAAATTCTATGGATGCTCCAGTCCCTTATAGAAAATGGTGTAGTCTTTCATATAACCTACGCACATCCTCCTGTATACTTTAAAACATCTCTAAATTATCTATGATACCTAATATAGTGTAAATACAATTTGCTATACTGTATTGTTGAGGGAATCATGACAAAGATAAAATGTCTCTGCATGTTCAGCACAAACACAATCATCCTTTTCTTTTCCCCAAATATTTTTAATCTGTGGTTGTTTGAATCCACAGATGCAGAACCCACAGATATGGAGGACTGACTGTGGAGGGAAAGTACAATGTAACAACATCAAAATGCAAGGAGATCTTGAGTTGTGATTAGGTAGTAAGTTCGAATTATGAAAGGATAGCAAGTGATGGAATTGCAGGTTGGCGAAGGAGTTCTTGATATGCCTTCTTCACTTGCTCCCAGCTTCCCCTGTTCTCTGTTTTCTCTTTCTCTCTTTCTCTTCCTTTCTTCTTTTCCTTTCCTTTCCTTTTCCTTTTCCTTTCTTTCTTTTTTCTTTTTGAGATGGAGTCTTGCTCTGTTGCCCAGGCTGGAGTGCAGTGGTGTGACCCCAGCTCATCACAACCTCTGCCTCCTGGGTTCAAGCAGTTCTCCTGCCTCAGCCTCTCAAGTATCTGGGATTACAGGTGCCTGCCACCACACCTGGCTAATTTTTATGTTTTTAGTAGAGATGGAGTTTCACTATGTTGACCAGGCTGGTCTCAAACTCCTGACCTCAAGTGATCCACCTGCCTCTGCCTCCCTAAGTGCTGGGATTATAGGAGTGAGCCACTGCACCAGGCCCTCTGTTTTCTTCTCTGTCACTTCTCACTGCTTCTCAATCTTCTGTTCTGGATCGTCTTCCCCCCAACCTTTTAACATTGGAATGTCCCTGAGCCCGGACCTGCCTCTTCCTTTATTTGTGCTTTTTGTGATCTCTTTCAGTTTCCTGTATATCCTGAGCACACCCAATTTATATCTCCAGCCCAGCTCACTTTCTTAAACTCCAACCATGGAGATCCAACTGGCCCCTTCCTTCACCAGTTAGAAATTTAATAGATTTCTAAAATTTAAAATACCCAAACTCTTCATCTCCCCTCTTTCCCAACATACTTTTATTTATACTATTTAATGTAGTCTTTCCCAAATCTGCGAGGAAGAACATGAGTTTATGTTGATGTTCCAACTTTTCAGTTGTTTACACCAAAAACTGAGTAGTCATTCTTACTTTTCCTCTACTCCACACCATGATTCTGTACGTAGAGTCATTCTTAATTTCTCTTGAACCTCTCCCTCTAAACTCTCAGGAACTTCTGTTAACTCAACCTTCAAGTAGGTAACTGATTTAACTACCTTTCACTACCCCACTGTTATCACAGAGTCTCTAATTTATAATCTCTTTGCTTCTGTCTTTGACGCCCTATATTCTTTTCTCAACACAGGAGTCCAAATGACCCTTTAAAAGCAGACATCAGAGGATATTACTCTTCTGCTCCAAACTCTTCAATGCCTCCCATTTTACTTCTGGGTAAAAGTTTAAGTCACTACAATGACTTATATGGCCCCATGTGAGTTGGCTTTCCTGTCACTTCTTCTTCTTCTTCTTCTTTTTTTTTTTTTTTTTGAGACGGAGTTTCACTTTTGTCACCCAAGCTGGAGTGC